TTGTTCAGTGATAGTCACCTAAAATTGATTTGGAAAAAAAAAAAAACCCTTAGAGAGTTAGGTTTATTTGAATGCCACACTGAACTTTTCAAACAAATCTTGTTCACAGCTTGACATTTCTAGAACATTTCTGTTTATTTTATTTATTCAGCATTTGTTCACTGGGCAGAATAAAAAGTTGATGTGATGCACTTGTAGAACATTAGTTATAACATTTATCCATTATGAATTACATTGGAAGTACAGTTGGGAATGTACCACTTAGTACAAATCTTTCCTTCCTTGTTCAGTTTGCAACAAATCCCCAAACAATGCCATTATATGATCACTTAAGATACCTGAAACATCTGTCAAAACTATGTATCTCCAATCCACTTCTATTCATTCTTGAAAAATATGTTTTCAATTATTGTACTCAGAAGAGACCAAATGTAGCATTCCACAGCAATGAACTAAGAATGCAGTTCTTCCGTATAGAGTGAGTGGATAAAATATAGCGCAACATTATGGAGCAACCATTTAATGTGAAAATCTATTTTTAAAATCGTAATCTCTTTATGCTATATACTTTGTTTGGTATTACTTTAGTGAGAGCCACAGTCAACAATAGAGAAGAACAAAGGAGAAGGGAGGCACGCAAGACTAGATTCACGTAAAACAGGAACCATAATTTTTTTTGTTTTATTTTGTTTGTTATGATTCCAGACACTACAATGTCTTCAATAAAATATAGTTAAATGAACTATGGTTTAACATTCTATTCTAGTCTTCTTTGTCTCTCTATCTGGCAACTAAAACTCTACAGGATTTGTGCAGAAGTGGTAAAAATGGGCAACCTATAATACCAGTTGATGACTTGGCAGGTTCTGCTTTGGGAATACATACCAATATTAAATTAAAAATATATTCTAGGGAATTAGTTCATCTCTCTCTCTATATGATTGTGTGTGTAATTTTACCATTTGTCCACCCTGCAATTTGATATGTTTTAGAAAATTCGTTGCTGTTATATTTTGTGCTTTAAATGAAAATTGCTCTAAATTGCTTTGGATGGTTAAATAAATTTAAAGCTGATCCTGTGTTAGATGTGTTGTGAAGATAAAAAGAACTGAAAAGAATTAACCAGTGACAATGTTCTGGGCTCCTCAGGATGGCATGAAAAAAACAAATAACCAAACACAGAGTTGACTGAGGTAAATTATGATGTTCTTAATCTTAGTCCAGGACTAAGGAGTTCCACACCAGCATTTTTCCCTGCTGGGATATTTACGTATCTCCCACCCCCACCCATTGCTAATGCCGGGATTAAACATGCTATCAAATTGGCTGTATGGATGAATATTAGTATATAGTATATAGAGATTGTGCAATTCAGCTTTATTTTAAAGAACCATTGTAAGTATCATTGAGATAATTAAACCTGATAAACTAGGACCTGAATAACACAAGTGCCTATATAATGTTGCTCTAGCAACTTCATACAATATGGACAATAGTAAGGGATCTTGACATCTATTGTTCCAGATATTGTTCATTTTCTTTATCTTGCTCTCTCTGTGGGTATATATAAAAGCATGTCCCCTTCTCCACAGAGGTGGACAGAGGCCACAATAACATCACACCTGATATATACATGCAACATCACTCCCACCCTTATAGACATCACTCTCCCCTTTCCTTCTGCATATACCCAAGTCTTTGGCTGGCTTTACATATTACATTTAGCTATACGGTTCACCCAGCTTTGACTGGGTTTTGCGTGACAAATTTAATGATAGTTAACTCAGCTATGATTTACTCATTAATTCAAATGACTCAGTGAACAATATCATATCCATGAAATCTGGATTTATATATAAGCAGTCCCTGGGTTAAGAAAGAGACTCATTCTTAAATCTGCCTTTGACTGAGATTTGTTAATTGACACTTGTACTTATGAATGGGCTGCATATTACTAAAAATGGGAGATTGCAATATCCTTTATTGAACCAGTGAATTGCTGAGAACCACTGAAAATAGGCTTTCATTAAAAAATGATTACATCTTCAGGAGACATCCCGTTTGTATAAGTATGAGTTATCCATAAATCAGTTGTTCTTTACTGGGGACTGCCTGTAATAGACCTAATTAAAATGTGTTTGTCTAGTGCAGGGGTCCCCAAATCCCAGGCCATGGACTGGTACCGGTCCATGGCCTGTTAGGAATCGGGACACACAGCTGGAGGTGAATGGTGAGTAAGCAAACAAAACTACATCTTCCCATTAGTGGGATCTAGATTGCACATGAAATCATCCACACACACACACCCCATCTATGGAAAAATGGTCTGTCACGAAACTGATCCTTGGTGCCAAAGAGATTGGAGACCACTGGCCTAGTGTATATCTCAATGTGAATTTATCCTACGTAGGGTTTATAAGCTACACTTTATAATTGTGTGAATTCAGTCAAACTATAATATCATTAAATAAATAATAAATCTTACGATTATGTGACTCTAGAATTTACGATAAAGTTATATTTATTGTAAGAAGACCACTGAAACTATAGGTTTTGGGCAAAAATGAACCAGTGGAATTCTGTACACTATATTAACAAAACTTTAAAATTTATCATCCACTTAGTCAATTAATACATAATCTATATACTTTGTTAGTTTGTACTTCATATTGTTATGGGGGCTAACAAATTATTCTCAAGCACACAGTTTAAAAGGGGATGTTAAATGTATATCTGTGGGCTGATCCATTTCTTTAAAATTGAATAAGAACACAATAGCATTAGCGAAAAGAAGAACTTATTTCCAAATCCTACAGTGTTGGTTGGCACACTTTATTTCACATTTTTAACATCAAACAACTTTGAAACACATTTGCTAGTTCACATTTTTTTCTAAGTCAGTATGATTAACTATGTTTTGTTGAATAAGTCAGAATTAGGTAGGTTTATATAGTACACTAAAATAGAATCAAACTGCCTGAGCTCACACATCATGCTAATCCATAATGTGGTTTGCTTGTTTGTGGTCTAGCATGATACACAGTTTGTAAATCAATGTTTGCAGCTTTGAGCTCAACCTTTTGAGATTACATACAATATTGTTTAGCATGACACATAAATTCCACCCCCAACTTGAGGAGTTGGATTGTGTGCAATTAACAAAATGTTTTCAATTAGTGCTAGCAAAAGGGCTACTAGAGTTCAATCAGTCTTTGCTTAAACATATTTTATTGAGTAAACCATAATTTGGCTGGGTTTACACAATACATTAAACCATAAATAAACCAAATTTTAGCTCAGCATATTGGGATGAATCCAGACTTTGTGTTGCACCCAGCATTATTTAAATATTCAGCAAATCCATTTTAGAGAGCCAGTTTAAAGTAGTGGTTAAAGCATCAGGCTACAACTGAACAGGATGAGTTATAATAAGCTCTTAGGCACAAAGCCAGTCATTGTCTGTTAGCCCTAGGAAGAAAGCAATGACACACCAATTGTAAAATGTTGGCAAGAAAACTGCAAGTTTGAACCAGACAATCGCTAGGTGTCCTATCCCCAAAAAATCTTTATTTAAGAAAGAGGGAGAATTTAAAGCAGTAGATTCATGTGCCTCTTTCTATTTTGCAAGGCTCTGTTCCATCTTGGCTAGGTATAATCACAGCTGGTCAATACTCAGATGGTATTTTGCCAAGTATCAGGGAAGCGATCAGATGCCCAGGCAATTGATTCTTTTGTATCCAGAGACAATGAGTACTCCAGTAAATAGATTTTAAGCTTTATTACTAACTCCAGCAAACAAAGTTAAAAAGAAAAATATTAAAAGCATACATGCCAAGCAAGACAATAGCCATATTTCTCACAGGATATTAGGAACTCCTCAATAACAGCAGAGGTACCCCAGGGTAGCCAAATTTTCAACAGTACCGAAAGCTAGGTTCAGTTGCAGAAGCTCCTGAGTCCCCATAAATAATAACAACCCCACAGTTTTTATCAAAAATTGATAGTCTAAGACCTGAGCTTAACTGACTGGCACATGACCCTGGCATGGAAATCCAGAGTGTGAGCCTTTCACAGCAACAGAAGCTTTGAAACTACATGGTAATTCTGCCCATCCCCCTTCAATAAACAAGAATGAAAAACAGGTAGATTAGCTCAGAATGAACTCTAAATTTCCAGACTTTTCTTAATATGAAGGTGAAATTAAAACATGTCACTAAGCTCCTCGAAAAAACAACGGCCTTCTGCATTGCCACTATAAATGGAAGAAATGTCAGGTCTGAGGACTGAAATGGGAAGTCAAGAAGTCCAGAAAGCATCGCCGAGGCAGCCAAGAGTCGATTAACTTCCCAACGCGAAGTGTCGTTGCTGGGAAACAACAGGTCCCTGTAATCCTCTGGGTTGAACTCAACTAACTCCAGGGAGACTTTATTCTAAATATTCTAAATGCATAAACCGAGCCTTTAAGTCATATTTCGCACAAAGCAAAACCCAAAGGAAGGCAGCGGGACCTAATTTATATTGGGGGTCGCTCTCTTATTAAGGCAGGGAAAACTATTGTGGGTTAGATTCACACACACACAAACACACAAAAGACCTAAAACTGGTACTTTGGAAAGATGAGTTTCTCAACAATCAGTTTTATGATTGCTCCAAAAACGGGGCAATTGCTTCTCACTCGGCAACTGGTGCTCAGTTTGACCCCCACCCCCACCCCCGCCGCCCCACATCACCCAGCACTTCGGAAAAGGAAAAGGGCACCAAGAGGGGAAACAAGAAACGCTCCAGAGCGCGTGCGAGAGAAACTCTCCGGCGAGCCGGCGTTCGCCGCTGCGGCCAATGAGGCGGCGTAGAGGGGAGAGGGAGGCGGGGCGAGGGTGGATGGGCGGCCTCCGCCTTTAGGGGAGAGCGCGGGCCGGGCGGGGGCGCAGAGGCGCTTCGGGGTTGGGGAGCTGGGGATCGCGGGGGCTGCCCTTTGGCTCGCGGCTGCACGCGCGGCTCCTGCTGCTCCCGGGACAGGCTGGCAGCTTCCCTTCCCGTGCCTTTCCCAGCTGCAGCCTTCTCTTCTCCGTCCCTCCCTCCCTCTCCTCCTCCTGCTCTCCGGGTTGTCCCTCCTGGCAGCCCTCTACTGTCCTCTTCTTCCTCTTGTTCCCCCTCTTTCCTCCCTCCATCCCAGGTTTTTTAATCCCCTTTCCCCGACATCCACCCCTCCCCATACTTTTCTCCCCCTACTAGAGAGACTCCGCTCCCACCGCCTTGCCTTTCCTCCTCCGCCCCTCATTGTCTTCTGCAGCCTATTGCCCAATTTCCAAAGCTGGGGAAAACTCGCTATGGGCGAGGACGAGGCAGTCCTGGCGGCTCTCCGGCTCCTTTCCAGCACTAGCTAGAAGAAGCGGGGCTTTTCGGGTTCGGCCAGGGAGGGTGAGCTGCACGGCGGCAACCTCTACTTGCAGCAGCAGCAGCAGCGGCGGCGGTGTCCGTCCCTCTGGTGATCCGCCAGGCGTCGCGTTGTCTTGGGGCGCTCGGCCCGTCGAGCCCGATGTGCGACTTGCTCGACTCGCAGCAGCCGCCCGAGAAACTTAGCAGAATGAAAAAGTTACGGCGAACTTTGTCGGAGAGTTTCGGCAGACTAGGTAAAGTGGGGGGGGGGGAAGGAGGGAGGGGGCGAGCTGGCATTCCTTAGCCCCGAGCCCCGTTCCAACTATTGCCTCGCGATTCAGTGGGTCAGTTTGCAAGCTGAATTGCCTTGGCTTACTCCTTCTTGACATTTTGTCTGCTGCCAAAGAAGTTCAAACCTGTGCTGGCGAGAGTGATGGGAGTTGTAGTCCTGCATCCTCTGGAGGCCGCCAGGCTTGGCTGAAGATCTTTCCATCATAGCAGTCCAGTGGCTCGCTGCCCCAATTTTCCGGCCGCCTTTTTGTGCGTTACAATAGTATTTTGAAAAATTGTTTTTTTTTAAATAAAAGTGTACCCAGTTCAAACCGTTTTATCCGGAAGTCATCTTGCTGATTAAATTGAAGCGATTAACAGCTGTTATGTCCCGACATTGAGGTATAAATGTGTTCATTTCACTCTGACTTACCCTTAAAAAAACTTTTAGCTGCTACTGGGTGTTGATCATAATTAGCATAATATAAACTGTCTGTAATCTGCTTAATGTAGTTTGACATGGAACATCTCCAAATAGGGTAATTGAATGGCACCATACTCTCTCCTTATAAAAATTATTGCTATTAATTTGTTATGAACAATTGAAAATACTATACAGGAGTAGAAAGTACTTTGAATTAATTGAAACTTATTTTTTAAAAATGGATTCAAATCCCTTCAAACTATGCTTTTGAAAAAAAGGTGGTTTTTTCCCCTCCTATGGATGAATGTAAGAAAATAGAAGGCATATAAAAAAGTGTATGAACTTTAGGATTGACTGCAGCTTTCTAATGTACCTTTAGTGGCTTTCCCGTCACATGTTCCAAATGACCCAATTATAATTTGTTTCATTCTTTTGTAATGCAAGATTGAAGTCAAAGGATTCCCTACAAAGGGTATGGAAATGAAAAAAATTAAATTTATCGAAGGGTATGGAAATAAAAAATTAAATTTATCAAAAGTAAAGAATATTGTAATAAAATTGTTATACCACATCAATAATAGAGGTGGATAGTTGTAAACTATTTAGAAAAAAGTGTTCTATTTCTTTAATGGAATCAGAGTGATTCTCTTCTAAAGTATCATTTATGAATATTTGAGAGAAAGAACGTTCCAATTGCTTGCATACTTGAAATTGCTCAGTATTCCTTCGGGCCAGAATGTATTTTCTAGAATTAGTTCTCCCAGTTGTGAGATGAAACAAGTTACACATGTAAACTGATTGTGTTTCAGAAAAAATAATCTAAAGGGAGCAAATGCAGTGTGAACTGCATTTGAAAATGGCATTTAATTCCTGCACCATTATCAATAATAATGGTTTCTATAACAAAAGGGGTCTGCTTGGCCTTTAGGAAATGGATAACTTGTTCAATAATCATAGTATGAAAATGAAAATGCTTCCATATGGCTTAGTGGTAAGACAACATTTGGAAGTCAAACTAATTTCCAACTATAGAAGTCTTCACTTGCCCATTAATTTGTGATTTAAGTTGTTTGGAATCTGCTGATTTGGTACTTCACCAAAGGTATTGCAAGTTGTCCACAATATGAGAAAAAGCTCACTGTGTGCATTGTACTTTTTATTCCTTGTACATTTTATTCTGGTGGCTAATTTAGCCACCAGAAGTTTCTCAGAAATTCTCTTACCTCTGCTGGCCCAATGTTCCTGTCATCTTTTGGCACTTCTTGCTTTGTAAATATAGAAACACCTTTTGGATGACACAATATGATCCTGTGTCATCAATACAGAGGTATATAAGATGTCGTATTTACATTGGATGTTTTACAGCCATCTCATAAATTATTCATAGATATCTCTTTATTCATCTGAATAAGATATCAGAGTATACATAGGAATGTATACTTGAAGCAAATTTCACTAGGATGCAAGTTGATTTCATGTTGTTTATCATATTTGTACCCTGCTTTTCTTCAAGCAGCTCAAGTCAGATAACATTTTTCCACTTCCTTTACAGGTTGGCAAATACAGTGTAAAATCTGCCTTTGAAGTATATGTTAAGCTATTTTCTGGTCAGAATAAGAGATGTGCATTTTAGGTAGATTATAGAAAGGGATATTGAAATTTGGAAAAATTCTAGTTGCTTCTATTGAACTAAACTAGTCTCTGTATAGTTCTTTCTGATTAACGTAAATTATATGCAAAATTATATGCTAGTTTTATGAGGTTTCCTTGAAACAAATAATAAATGTTCAGTTGTGATGATATGAAGATCTGGGGAATCACAGTGAATTTGAATATTTCAGGTCAGCTCTTCCTAAATTGCTGCCTTTAGATGGATCTATTAGACTGTCTCTTTCAAAATTCGGGTAAACATGACCTTTGGGATCTCTGTAGGCCAACATTTTGGGGGCAATTGAGGAAGCCTGTTTCAGATCAACTACTGAAAAGGAAATGAGTGAATGCCCTTACTGTATAGTGTTACCACCAACCACATTACTCATAATTATTCCTAATTTAATTTTTGGGTAGCTTGAGGATGTACAAAGCCATTTTTGCTTGAATTAAAATGGCTGAAGAATATCAGAAGCTTCTTTCCTTTATACAAAATTGCTTGTGCCTCAAGTGTAAAGACTTCTTTTTCACTTTGGGGCTTCTCCTACTATTTGTCTGACCCAGATGTAGAACTGAATCTTTAGTGTGGATATTAGGTGGCTCAAATGCAAAATAAAGGCATGATATCTGATGCCAATAATGCCAACCCTGGGGATGATTTTTGAATAGCATTTTATCTGGGCTATGTCTCTGATTGATACTAAGTACCTGATAGTACAGTAATGGTGTCCTTGCTAAAGGGCTGAAAACCAGCAAACCATTCAGATAAATAAAAAAGGACCCATTAGTCATGACCTGTTACTCCCATTTATAATGTTTAATTATTTTAATGCTTGAACAAAGTGTTTTGCTTCAAGCAGTTTGTTGTAGACATTGCAGATTGCTGTAGGAATGCTTTTCATTCATTAATTATAAGAACTTGAGCTCCCTTGGCCAAACCTTGTGGATCTGTATTTTATTTCACACACTGGCTAGCTAGCCCTAAAAAAATCCACTAATGGTGGCCTTCTCTAGCTGTTGCCACCCAGCAGCTGCTGTTTGTTGGCATTCTGCCTTAAACGCTGGGTGGTCTGTTTTTGACTCATACTTAATAGCCATTGATAGACTTCCTCCCTGAATCTGTTAATTTGCTATTGAAGCTAGTGGGTACGACCATATCATATTGCAATTATTTCTATAACTGAATTATGCATAATGTGAAGTACTTTCTTCTGTCTGGTCACTTTCATTTAATGTGTAATACATTATTAGGAGGCAAAATCTATTGTGCATAATTCTATTTTTTAAAAAAAACAAAATCATAAAGTAACATTGTTTTCAAATCTAATAAGCCCTCTGTGCATCAGGCATTAAAGTCCAACCATATTACGAATGTTGTGAAGTTCTTCTGTTTTGTCTGTTATAAGCCTGTTGATAGACAACTTTATTGAATGTCATTTGAATTTCAGCATTATGAAAAACTTAGATGCTTTTCTTAAAACAATATATTATATAATTAAACTTTTAAGTATCTGACACATGTGTCTTTTGCTCTGTGTCTTTTACTTTAAGTGAGTTGATTTTTGTGAGTCAGAAAAGGGCTTTGCATTTATTGTAATCATACTTTTCTATACTCCTTCTATTGGTAGTATCTACTGCATCTACATTGAGGGAAGTATGCAGGAGGTACCCAAGGCTCTGTTTTAGGCCCAGTACTCTTCAACATCTTCATCAGTGATTTGGATGAGGCGATAGGTAGGGAACATAAAATTTGCAGATGACACCAAGCTAGCAGGAATAGCCAACACTGCAGAAAATAGGCTTAAAATGTGGAAAGATCTTGACAGACGTGAACATTGAATGCTATCTAACAAAATGAAATTCATTGGTGAAAAAAGTAAGGTTCTACATTTAGGCAAGAAAAACCAAATGTACGGTATAATATAGGTAGCACCTAGCTCAATAGTAGTAATTGTGAGAGGGATCTTGGAGTTGTAGTGGACAACCATTTAAATATGAGCCAGCCGTGTGCTGCAGCTTACAAAAAAGCCAAGACAGTTCTAGGCTGCATTAACAGAGGGATAGAATCAAGATCACATGGAGTGTTTATACCACTTTATAATGTCTCAGTAAGACACACTTGGAATACTGCATCCAGTTTTAATCGGCATGATGTAAAAAAGACTCTAGAAAGAGTGCAGAGAAGAACAACAAAGATGATTAGGGACTGGAGGCTAAAACATATAAAGAACGGTTGCTGGAATTGGGTATGTCTAGTTTAATGACATAGGAGTGACATCAGTGGTGGGTAGCCCCCGGTTCGCACAGGTTCTATAGAACCGGTAGTAAAACCGGTGGGAGGCTCCGCCACTGACCCCGACATCACCAAAATGCTTCTGTGCATGCGCATGGCCCCATTGCAAACCGGTAGTAAAGGTATGTAGAACCCACCCCGCATCATATGATATCAATATTCCAATATCTTAGGAGTTGCTACAAAAAAGAGATAGTCAAGCTAATCTGAAAAGCACCTGAACGCAGGACAAGAAGCAATGGATGAAAACTAATCAAGGAGATAGAATAAGGAAAAGTTTCCTGACAGTTAGAACAATTAATCAGTGGAACAACTTGCCTCCAGAAGTTGTGAATGCTCCAATTTTGAAAAGAGATTGGACAACAATTTGTCTAAAATGGTATAGGGTTCCTGCCTAAGCAGGAGATTGGACCAGAAGATCTCCAAGTCCCTTCCAACTCTTTTATTCTGTTTCTGATTGGAGTGACGGACAGACATATATTCTGACTTCGATAATGTCAGCCTTAGAAGGTAGACTAGATAGGAAACATGGCAAGATAAATTAATTCTGCTTTATTGTAAAGCTCTATCAAGAGCATCTTACAAGCCTCGAAGTACATTTATTCTGATACAGCCCAATAATTTAGGGAGGGTCCCTCCTGAGCCTCTAGCTCTGCTGACTCTGCAGCTGTGGGCTATGTTCCTCTTATCTGACTGTTCCCTAACCAAGCATCTGTGCTTGGTGTCTCAAGGTCATTGTCACATACCATTTCAGATATGTCGTGAATTACAGTACTATGGAATTTTATAACTTAAAATTACAGTTTTGCAAACTTTAATAATATTACTCGAGTGACAGCAAATCGGTGAGTTCTTAATTTTTTATACAAGCTTTTCTTTTATTTAGAGCTAAAGCAACTTATTTAATGATTTCATTCAAACTCATTTAGTAATCTCAGTCTTGAATTAGATTTTAGTACTAATTTTAGAACTTTAGGATTAAGGTTAGCCAGTATTTTAGAGCCTGGAATCTCACAGCACTGGATGCCTGATGATGATAATAATGCGAAGTAGCAAGGGCTATAAAGATAGGGACAAAAAATAATATTACCCAATATTTTGGACTGGAAATTAGTTATAAATGATTTATCTTCTTGGCACAAAGCTAGATTCCAGGTACAGAACAAGTTTTTATATCCTAGTATGGGTGTCTATATTCCCTATGGTAGTTGGATAAAATTACAGGCAGTCCTTGAATTACAACAATTTGTCAGCTCTTCATTAAAAGTCCTGTTTTTCCTTTGAGGATTCCTCTTCATTCTTCAGATGAAACTTGATTCTGAGCACATACAAGGAGCAATAGGTAGGAAGCTTGTTTATGTGGCTCACAGTCCTTTTATACACACACCTCTTGCTATAGCTATGCCCATATATTTATTTGAAAGAAATTTATCAGTGGAAAATGGAAAACTAATTTGTTACAAAACAATCACCGTTCCTTAGCATCTTTCTTCCAAATAGTAATTCTTAGCCCCACAGGAAGGTGGTGTCTTCAATGCTTTGTTTGAACAGGTGACCTTTACTCAGGTAATGGTAAGGATAAGGTGTAGTGCTAAAAAGCTATGAGGCTAAAGAGAAGAGTGAGTTTCCCTTCTATTAATGCCTTATGTGGCAGCCATCTGGTAGGAGAACTCGGAATGTACTTTCAAAAGTGCACTTGCTCTCACTGGCAGGATCTTTTTGTTAATAAACAAGGCTCTGGTTTTATTTTCTGTCCTTGAAGCTTGATTATTACGGTGTGTTATCCTGTCCAGTATATACTATCACACAGGAAAGCACAAATCTGTCAGATTTCAAGTCCACATGTAACACTCCTTGCTTGAAAAAAGCTGTAGAGAACAATTTATTGTTTGTACTGTATGTTGTTGTTTTCCAGTGCTGCCTCAGTACCTCTCCATTTATTCAGCAGTTTCAAGCAGCATATGTAGCACCTCTTCCTTTTCTCTCTCTCATAACATTCATTCTTAAAAATAGCATAAATTATAACTTATATACCCTAAACATATTTATTGTTTCACATATCGAACCAATAAATGTAAACTTGAAGAGAACGCATCCCATATATTTTTCCAAGAGAAGTAATTTTATTCAAGTTAAGTTAAATAACTACAAAGAAATATTTGTTTGCTTTTTAGCATTTTATATTAGTAATATAAACTAATTAGATAACAAATTATATCTTTTTTTCTAGCCTTGAAGAAAGATGATAACGGCTTTGATGAGGTAAGTTGTATTTTCTATTTTCAAATTTTATTTAAATATATATTGGGCAAAATATTACAAATTAAAAAGAATAATAGTGACTAAAAAGAATAAATTATACAACACACACACACCATGAAAAAAACTACATGAAACAAATGTAATGTAATTTGATATAATTATATTTCTAATTGTAAGTAGATATTCTCATTTTATACACCCATATGGAACACTTCTAGTTCAAAAGGTATATGTATAGATGGAGTAATGTAAATTATTATGCTGATTTAATTTATAAAAGGGTACCAAATAAAGAAATAAAAAGTATTTGTTGCTGTTTTAGTTTTTTTAGCCATTTCTTTTTCACACTTTTAAATATCACTGATATGAAGAAAGATGTACTTCTTCCAGTTTATTGTTATAGTAAATTTATAGGAAGGAAACCAAATAATTTTTACATTGCACTATTTTATGTTTTTCTTTTTCAAGAATATAGTTGCATTAGAATTATTTATTAAACACTATTGGTAAAATAGTAGTTTGGTAAAACTACCAAAGTCTTCAAAAACCCCTAGCCAAAATGAGTAACAAAGGGATTAATGACACTTTTCAATTGGAATATGAAATAAAGGGTCTTTTAAGGAGATATAACATGATTTTCTATTTTTATAGGGGATGGTTTCTAAAATAGATTTAAATAATATTTTTATATTACCAAATATTTTGCATTGATTCATCAAATTTCAAATCCCAAGTCATTTCCTGTTCTTTTAAATATTTTCAAGAAAGTTTGTTCTATTTAATATAACAATTTCTAAAGTAGTGATGAGATTATTCTGATTTAAAGTGTTGAAGAAATCCACTATACTTCATACATTGTTAATACCTCTTTTAAAAAGGGATTGACAGGCATGAATAATTAGGACCCCCAGTTAGGCTTCAGCATAGAAGATTTATTTATTGTTATGAGCCACAGTGGTGCAGTGATTAGAGTGCAGTACTGCAAGCTGCCTGCCAGCTGCCTGCCATTGGCAGTTCAATTCTTACCAGGCTCAAGGTTGACTCAGCCTTCCATCCTTCCGAAGTGGTTAAAACGAGGACCCAAATTGTTGGGGGCAATATGCTGACTCTGTAAACCACTTAGAGAGGGCTGTAAAGCACTATAAAGCAGTATATCTAAGTGCTATTCCTATTGCTATTTGAGCCTATACACAAGAATCTGATCAGCTAAAGTTTAACACTAAATTGGTGCCAGAAAAGAGGTCAACTGAATTCAGGATGGATTGGACCTGGAGCGCTAATGGAAACTCAGTGGCTCTAAATGGATAGTGCACTTAATTTCCCACCTCTGCTTTCTCTTTTCTACAGGAATCATATTTTTCAATGTTTCAAAATTTAAGTGGCCTATGAATAAAATAAGTTTCGGAGAGTTTCTACAAAATTTTAAAGTAACTTTAACGTATGAATTTATGATAGAGGATATTAATTTATTTCAGAAAATTAAAGTATTGTCCTAAAACATTGTACGCCTTGAGTTGATTAATGTGAGTTGTTTTAACTTAAAAGTAGACAACTGCATAATTTATAGTTCTGAAATGGAATGTTCTGAAGGATTCTAGAACGCACCATTCCTTATTGCAGTGGTTCTCAACCTTCCTAATGCCACGACCCTTTAATACAGTTTCTCATGTTGTGGTGACCCCCAACCAGGGGTGGGTTCTAATTTTTTTTACTACCGGTTCTGTGGGTGTGGCTTATTTTGTGGGCGTGGCTTGGAGGTCATGTGACTGGGTGGCCATGGCTATGTGTATAGGGACTACTCAGAGGGCTGAAAAAAGTCATTTCTGACAGGTCCTCGCACTTTTGACTGGTCCTCACACTTATGACCATCCTCACATTTATGCCTGTGCAGCATTCTTAACAACCATGTCACTCATTTCACTACTGCTTCTCTTCAACATGGTATAAGATAGGGCAAAAAACGTAAAATGTGAGGACAGTCGTAAGTTCGAGGACTGGTCAAAAGTGCGAGGACCAGTCAAAAATAACTTTTTCAGCCCTCTGAGTAGTCCATATGCATAAAAGGATACAGCAATAGAGAGGGATAAAGGAAGGGAAGGGAAATTAGAGTAGGAGTGAAGGTAAGAGAGGGAGGAAGAGAGGAGGAGAAGGAGAAAGAAAGAGGAAGTAGGGAGAAGAAGAAGGGGGGGAAGAGAAAGTAAGTAAGAAAGAAAAGACAGAGGTGGTAGGTTTGAGGAGAAAGATTGCTGTACAATAAAAAAGATGAAAGGGAAGAAAGCCAACCCCAAACAAATATTAAGATATTAAGATAAAGAATGAATTGTTAAACTTTAAAGAATAAAAGAGAACAAATAGCAATAAATAGCAATAATTAGAAACACACATACAAACATACAACGTATTTTCTTTGAACAGAGTATTTGGCCGGTTCACAAATTTAAACAGTTGTAGGAGGTTAGCACCCACCCCTTTCCTAGAAGAATGAAATATTTTGGGAAATATTAAAAAGGCAGAATATTATATTTTCCTGTATGAGAAATGGAGAAGCATATTTTACAGACAAAGCAATTCCCACCTTCCTGCCCCCCACCCTTTGTTAATGGGCCAGAGGCAGAAACTCAATCCTTTGTCAAAGGACATTTGCAACACAATAGCAACAGAAACTAACACAATGGGCCCCATCAAGCCATGTGATCCTGTCCACCATTAAACCATCTTTCCAAGCAGTCTCCATGTTTCCAGTGTCTTTTTCCCCACTTGGAGCAGAACCCAGAAGGATATTTCTTCCAACACAGTATTTAGTCATTTCAATTAAATTTACAATTTTTATATTTCCTTTTTACCATATTTATTCCTCATCTATTTTTTTAAAAAACCAATATTACCCTTCATCCTCATCTCTAATCTTAATCAAATTCAATTTTTCCCTTCTATTCTATATTATACCCCTTCCCATTGTCATCTATTTTTATATCCATCCTCACATTGGTTAATTATGTAATACAGTTGTTTAATACAAATTCAACATTTTAATATAAATCAATTAGTTACCTTTTTTGTATATTAATCAATATGAACATGAATATTCCAATTATTTCCATGCAATCCAATTTCTTACAAATCAATTAATTATATTTACCAATAATAATAAACCAAATAATTTCCCCCATATATTCCTCCAAACCACAACTTAACCATTTCTGCTTTCAACACAATATGCAATTAATAGTATCTCAATTATTACAATTCCCTAGTTAAATAGAGCTTTTTTTCTTCTGTGTTTTAAAATCTTGAACCTCCTCTTGCCCTAAATTTCCCATTGTTTGCAGTTTGCACCTACCTTTTTTGGTGAGGAAAAAGAAAAAGAAATCTCTCTGCCTCATTTTGTCACGTTGCAGCCAAGACCCTGCTTAATTTCAACTTTGCTTTTTCAGCATAGCTAGGGGGGAAAAAATCTGCTCCAGGAATTTACCTCTTTGCAGCTAGCTAGCAACAGAGCCCTCCACAAAACAGCTGAGAGTAGGGCGGGTCTTTGAAGCCCAGCGGCAAGAATTTAAAGTTTTTTTCCCTCTAGCCATTAGCTGGGAATCCGGAGGCAGCAATAGATTAGGAGTGGGCGGGGTAAGCGAATGGCAACCGGGCGATCCAGCAGAGGCAGAGGGTGAGGGTGAGTGAAGGCATGGGGGGGGTGAGAGAGGGCTTTGGCGACCCCCGTGAAATGGCGTTCGACCCCCAAAGGGGTCGCGACCCCCAGGTTGAGAACCGCTGCCTTATTGGATCCTTTCTGACCCAGCTATTCCAGAAATAATTTTTAAATTTTCTGGAAGTTAGTTTTCTGAACCAAAATGTTTCTTGTTCTAGATCAGGGATGTCAAACTCGATTCCATTGAGGGATGCATCAGGGTTGTGTTTGACCTCAGAGGGCTTGAGTGGGTGTAGCCATCTCGACGTCACTTGTGTGGGAGGTATCTGTGGTGGCCCAAGCACTCTGCCAGTGAAAATGGGTTTCCGAGCTGCATTTTCAGCTGCAACAGCCTCCTGCAACCCTCTGCCAGCAAAAATGGAATTGGCAAGGGCCGTGCTTGGTCTCTCCCCCCCCCCCGGGAGCTACGTTCTAGCTGGCAGAGGTACCATGGGCCATTCCTTCGCAGTTTCCAGGATGGCCCCACAGGCCAGATCTAAGCACCCTGCAGGCGGATCTGACCCCTAGGTCTTGAGTTTGACACCCCTATTCTCGATGAAAGATGAATTGACTTTTGTTTTTACCTATTCCTACCATGTTTCCCCGAAACTAAGACATGTCCTGATAATAAGCCCAATTGGGCTTTTGAGCGCATGCGTTAAAATAAGCCACCCGCCAAAAATACCCCCCGAAATACTTAGAAGCATGTGCAGCTGCCGTGCAAACAACATGACGTGAGGAAGCAAGGCCAGAGAGGGGGGGAATGGAGGGGGAACATGCCCCACACCCCTGTGCCATCCATGCGGAACAGCTTAATGGAGGCCGCTCCCACAAACCCTAGCTTGCGTGCCCCTTTTCTTAGTGGCGAGCCGAGTGCACTGCTGCCACTTGGGAGAAGAAGAGAAAGAGGAGGCGCTGTGAGAGAGCCCATTTCTGAAGTTCTTCTGTTCCTGGGCGGCAGCATGTTCAGCTTCCCGAATCTGGGTTGCTGAATTTGGCCGGTGAGGGGTGTGGCAGGTGGGAAGGGGTGAGGCGGTCGAGAAGCGAGACACATGGAGTGAGATGGGACTCCCCTTGTTATCTCCTTCCCCAACATGGCAGGAACTGGAAGTCAGGTAAGACACTGCGGAGAAGACAGGCAAAGAGACAGACAGGGAGAGAAGCAACAAGAGTGAATATCCTCCCATCCACTTTTATTTGGTAACGGCACGCTGACCATTTAGCCAGATCTCAACTCCACATCCTTTGGAGATTTGGGAGGAAACTATTTCCCCTCGCTTTTCTCTCCCCCCAACTTCATTCTTAAACCGGGAGGGGA